CAACTCTATTCTGACGTCTCAACACTCACCGTGGTCTGAGACGTGTATCTGAAGACCCTCTCTTCGAACGTCAAGTTCTCCTCCACCTCGTCCTGCGGCTTGAAGATCCTCAGCAGCAGCTCCTTAAACGACCGGCTCATTCCTCTCTCCGGGATATCCGGCGCCTCTCGCGGCATTCCCCCTTTCTCCCAGTCCGGCTGAGGCTCATACCACCCGCCATTCTCATAATCGTACTCCGACGGATCGTCTATCCAATCCTCCCACTCCCGATCATCAGGATCCTTCCCAGCGAATTGAATTCCCCGTAATTCTCGGGACGTTTGCCACCGCTCGAACCGCTCGGGATCGGCCAGCATGGCGTCAATGTCGTCATCCGGGCCGCCTACTATCTGACGTTTCTGCCAGCGTGGCAGCGGCGCGCCGGGCTCGCCAGAACCAGACCCGCTTCCGGACGCCCCCGGTCCTGTTTGCCCGAAACCCTTTCCGAAAACCGAGCCGGATCCCGTGCTACCCCACCCAGATCCCTTGAACCCTGGAGCTTCGATTTTCGGCCCCCCACCGCTGCCGCTAAAGCCGCCTCTATTACTGCTGTCCGTTCTCCCTGCTTCTCCGCCTCCGCTTCCGCCTCTTCGCGTGCCTGATTCCCCTCCGCCTGGCCCACCGCCTCCGCCTCTCCGCGTGCCAGCATCCCATCCGCCTAACCCTCCACTTCCACCTCTCCGCGTGCCAGGTTCCCCTCCGCCTGGCCCTCCGCTTCCGCCTCTCCGCGTGCCAGGCTCCCCCTCCGCTCTCCGACTCCGCCTCCGCGGAGGGCCCCCCTGAGGCTCGTCCGGAACACCGGGCCAACCGGGGGGAGGTTCGGGAGGGCGCCTGGAGAACAAATTATCCCACCAGGCTAATCGCGTCCGCCATTGCTCCCGTCTCCTGTGTCTCCTAGCCGGAGACTCTGGTCCTCCACTGAAAGGAGTAGAAGGCGGTTGCTGGATGCCAAACGGGTTCGAAGATGGATTAGAGGAGTTGGGAACGGTGCTGTGAGAAGGGGTTGAGGGAAACTGTCGTCGTGCTCTTCTGTGTGGACCTGACCCAGCTCGGCATTGTACTGATCTGCTGACGTCTGATCTACTCTCCCGTTGCTGATACAGCCCCTGGTTTAGGCGATTCGGGGGGTTATTGCAATGTGGCTCCTGGGTACGGAAAGAGCTACTTTGGTAGTCGTGAAAGCTCCCAGTGCTTGCGCTGCTACGTAACGACCGTGGTATTATGGGATCGCTACCTATCCTGCAGGCGTGTAGTCTCTCAAGCACTCTCGAACGGGGAGGTAGAGGAGGGAGGCCAAGCGCAGTGCCGGAGAAGCACCCAGAAGACGTACGGATCCTCCTGAAGCTACTTCTTGACCGGTCGTTGGAGTCCTTACCCGTTCTTCTGGTTTGACGCGAATGCGTCGATGTGTTATTGATCAGTGAGCTGCATTGGGCTGCGTGGCCAGGCTGGGAAGGTGAAGTGAGCATGACTGCTTTTCCCAGCCCGTAACAGACGGAATAGAGGAAAGGAGACGCTCATCTAGATCCCTTCATGTGCGCGAAGCTAACGTTAGCAACCCTCGTTAATGCATAGACGTGTTGACACTGGTGGATTCATAGCCAGACCGGGAAATGTCCAAGTATTGGCTAAAGAAGCCTGAAAATTGATACAAGGACGTTATTCCGGTTCATGAACTAGGACGCATTAGTTGGTTTCGTCAGAAGCTTGTAGGAACGAAATACCTAATCGAGTTCTGCGACTAAACTAACTAAAGAAAGAGATTAATTGGAAGATGGTCTAAGAACCTGATCAGGATCGTCAGCAATTTCGAACGAATGTGCCCGTAGAAGTGATGAGAAATGAGGTGAAACTCTATTCGCAGCTCCTAACGGTTCTGCATACTTGGCCAAAATGGATTTGTTGAGCTTATGCCCTACCGAGAGGAATTCCCAAGGCTCATGACGTGGACTTTCCAAGGTTTGGGGATCAGGCACGGCACGCGATGGCGGGTTCACATTGGCTAGTTTTGATTTTGGCCTGCTGGGGGCTGCCATCGCGCTGCTTCGACTGGTCCTTCGTTTTGGTGGACGTGGCGGGAAAGTCACCTCCACGTCATGCGGCCTGTGAAGCGCTGGCTGTGAACAAATGTGCGTGGACATTGCACTTACAGCTACACCTTCATGGGTTGTGTGCGGTTTGCGTTTATCGAATAACAAGGAACATATTATCCTGCATAACACCAACTTGTATGTTCAAGAACGAAAAACGAAGAATCGATATTTTGTATACGAAGAATTATGTACACATCGGCATTCTAGTATCTAAAGCCATAAAGGCTCGTCGTGCAGTCGACGAGCACAGAACACTATTTCTGCAGTACGATTCTCCTCAGAAGACTATTCCTGCCTTCACCCTAACATTCCGTTGCTCCATTTGGCACGGCGGCGATAGCTCGGTTAGCGCCCATGACCCTGACGCCAGCATCATATCCACAAACTCGCTGAAGCACAGCCGTCCATCGCCATCAAGATCGACGCTCCGGATCATTCTCTCGCATTCTTCCAGTGACATGTCCTCGTCCTCCCAGATCCCCCCCATAACTTCGCTTAACTCCTCCGCCGTGATAAATCCGTCCTTATTCCGGTCAAACAGTTCGAAAGCCGCTGCAAGATCGTCGATCGACGGACCATCAGAACCTCTGCAGAACGCCTCGGCCGCTGATTCGCAATCGGAGGCGAGAGATGCGGATAATGTCGATTTTGGAGACGCTTCAAAAAGAGACGACGTCCATGAAGAGTGGCTACTAACGCGGATGAATTCGTCAAAATCGACGTAGCCATCGCCGTCAGTGTCGGCTTGGCTCATCATGGCTTGAACCGTCTCCTCCACCCGCTCCTCTCCCAGGCTCTCCAGAACCGATGCGAGCTCTGTTGCGGAAATGCGACCGTCGCGATCTCGGTCCATTAGGTCGAAGATAAAACTGAACTCGTCAATCGGTGCTGCGATAGGCGAGTCGTGCGCAGGCATCCTTGGAGCCATGATAGAGTAATGTGGAAAGACGCAAATACAGAGTTTACTAAGCTGCTGTAGTTGCTGTAATTTTCTGAAGGAAGACTTTCTGGCTTGGCTTTGTGATGTGAAATGAATAAGGTAAGCTGCTTCGACTAAGGAGGCCTGCTGGGTTGGAGGCTAATAAATGTCAGTCAGTCACCGTGTGGCTGTGGTGTGATTCTTGTCCGGACTTTGAAACGTAACTGTGAGGATGAATGATTTCGTCAGTTACTGTTGGAGCACGCATGCCGTGCTGCTCTGTCCTGGCGAGGGCGTGGCTGGCTGGAGCAAGCAGCAACCTCGCACCAGCACCAGCTGCCTCGCTTCGCTTGTGATGAGCGAGCGAGAAGGGGGGGAAAGGGGGCTTGAAAGGCGGGATGGGGAATGTGGGGTGGTTTTGTCCGTGCCGTGCAACGGGGAAAGCTAGAGTGGAGGGAAGCTGCGGAGCGGAGCTCACCCATACAAGCCAAGCCAAGCCACACAGTTCTGCGTCGTTACAGACGGCTGCGGACAAGAAATCGCACCTTCCTTTCTTCTTTCTGACAGTGGACTGGCAGGGGAAGGGAAGGCAGTGAAACTCGAGCACGAGGAAGCTGCGGCGGAAGGCTTGGCTGAGAGGAGAAACGAGTGCGGGGCAGAAAAGCGAGGAAGGGACGGCTCAAGGTCACTGACTCACGGACTCACCTCACCATACCACGGTGCGGGTCGGTCGGGTGGACGGGCGAACCGGCGCCGGGGAAGGCGCGTTGAATCGCGGAGGGGAGGCGAAGCCGGGGTGGAATTGGTTTGTGCTGCTGTGAGCGGGGTCGACGGGAGATGTGTTACGCGCGAGTGCGCGCAAGCGGGTTTGCTGTGCCTGTCGAAGGGAGTGCTTGGCTGCTAGCTGGCGGACTGTGGAAGGGTTTGAAGAAACCGAAGGAAACCGCAAAACCAGCGTGCTGTCGTGCTGTCTGGCTTCGAGGCAGTCGCAATTTGTCGCAACAATTCCGGGTCTGCCCGAAAACGGTGCCACAAGAAACTCTCTCCAACGTCCTCACATTTCTCCCGTGCAATTTTCCTTCATGGAGGCCAGGGAAAGTCGCTGGATTGGCTACTGCATACTCTAGAACGGTACACATCTTTCGCAACGCAACAGGTCTTGGGCAACAACTCTTGGATGCATACAGACTCCGCAGCCCTGCAGTCACTCATCTGTGAGAATTTCTTCGATAATACTCTCTGGAAAAGTGCCTATGGCAATGCTGTGAAGTATATCACGGCCTAGTTTCAATATAAGCCATCATCACAAACAACAGAAAATGGGTTCTGGCAAAAACGAAACCGACGCTTACAGGAGATCGGCAATGAAGGAGGCTATGGGTCTCAATCACAAGTTCACTGTATTGTACCTGCGCACGGAGTGGAACATTCAAATTGCGTGAAGGCTAGAAACGGTAGAGATGAGACGAGGACTTCGGAAGCATGTGCACATGGGGCGCGTGCACAAATGAGGGGTTTCGTACGTTTCGTGAGATGGCATCATTGGCCCTGTCAACTCGTGATGAGTTGGTTGATGACAAACCGTACGATTGTGGAGAAACGGCGAGAAACTGTCACGCACGGGTATGGCTGTATTCGCAGCTACACTTCAGCAGCTTTCGATGCTTGTCTAGGAGAGCAGTTATGTAGCTTTATTTTCAATATCACTAATTCTAACAAGTGGGTTATTCTTCGCAAGAACAGAGTTGGAACACCCAACATCTACAGTTAACAACCTAAACTACAGAAATTTATGCAATGGAGAGAAAAGTGCTTGTTGAGTAATCATTCAAGCAAAGAATATGCAAACCTCTACTGCATAATATATGCACTGTGTTTGCTATGAGCAGTAACCCTTGCTGTAAATAGCGACTTCGGCTGCCGGAGCGCTCTCATCAGCACCTTGCACCTCATGCTGCCACTGTCCCATCTGGCATGTCCCCATTGGCTGCAACCACGACAGGAACCTCGGGAACAGCAGCAGCAGCAGCTCCTGGAGCAACAGCAGCAGCAGCACCATTAGAAGGCACAGGCTGAGCAGGTGGGGGGGTTCTGCGGGAGACAGTCATGAGAAGGCCATTGGTGGTGTGGATGGTGGCTCCCGTTGTCATGCCCACCTGATACATCAACAGCACAGCAGGGACAGGGAATGGGGGTGATGATGAAGGCAAGGAGGGAGGGAAAGGGCGCTTGAAGCGACGTGTCCGGTAATTCTGGGATGGGTGCCAGGGTGAATCGAGGTGAGGGTGAAGCGAGGTGTGGGCAAAGGGAGGTGTGGGCAAAGGGAGGTGTGGGCAAAGGTTGAAGCACGGTGAGGGCAAAGGGTTGTGTGGGCAAAGGTTGAAGCACGGTGAGGGCAAAGGGTTGTGTGGGCAAAGGTGGAAACGACTGGTGCGCAAAATACTTCAATTTCCGTTCATTCACTCACCTCTTCAGCACCGGGTGCCAGGCTGAAGTCAAACCGCCCGGCCTGGATGGCCACAGCTGTGCCGCCCGCCGCTCTGCCCTTGCATTCACTCATTAATTTGAATATCTTCTCAATTTCTCACCTCTTCAGCGCCGGGTGCAAGGCTTGAAGTCGAACGGCCGGGCCAGCATTGCCACGGCTGTGCCACCCGCCTCTCTCCCCTCGCAATCACTCAATAATTTGAATATATTCTCCATCCCTCACCTCCTCAGCGCCGGGGGCAAGGCTGAAGTCGAAGCGCCGGGCCAGCATTGCCACGGCTGTGGTGACTTCAAACGTGGCGAACACGTCTCCGATGCACTTGCGCTGACCACCGCCAATGGAAGATAGCTGGAAGGTTCACGAGGGAAGGGGAAGATGGAGGGGTAGGTTCAGTTGGGGGTGGGAGAAAAGGTGAGGTGTGGTGACTTCAAACGTGGCGAACACGTCTCCTATGCGCTTGCGCTGACCACCGGCGAAAGGAGCTGTGGAAGATGGGCAGATGGAGGGGGAGAGGGGGGGTGGGGAAGATGGAGAGAAAGAGCAGAGAGCGATTCAGACACGGTGGGGGAAAAGTGAGGTGTGGTGAGTTCAAAACGCGGCAAACACATGTCACATGTCACTTGCACTGACCACCGGCGAAAGGAAGGTAACTGTGACATTCAAGAAAAGAGGGGGAAGATGGAGAGAAGAGGAGGAGGGGAAAGAGAAGGAGGGGGGAGATGGTTAACAAGGGTGGGGGTGGGTGGGTTCAGTTGGAGTGGGGGGAAGGTGAGCTGAGGTAACCTCAAATGTGGCTGCCTTGATTGAAACCCTCTGTACCTTGTGTGTTCTCAGCAGCACCCCCTCCGACCAGCCTCACCTGAAGTTCTCGGTGACCTCGGTGGGGTCGGGGCCGTCAAGCGGCCACCTCTATTGCTCTACCCTGGCCATTCTATTCGTACCACACTGAAGAACCACCCCTAGCGGCACCACTAAACTCCAATCCCCCGGCCCCACCTGAAGTTCTCGGTGACCTCGGTGGGGTCGGGGCCGTCAAGAGGCCACCTCTCGGGCCGGAAGGCCTCTGCGTCCTGCCAGAGCTCGGGGCTGTGGTGGAGGTTCCACACGGAGATGAAAATGTCCTGACCCCTGGGGATGGGGAGAGAGGCAAGAGGGAAGCGAAAGGGAAGAAACAGATGGGAGAGCATGGAAGGCCACGGCATGGGGAAGGCCTCTGCGTCCTGCCAGAGCTCGGGGCTGTGGTGGAGGTTCCACACCGAGATGAATATGTCCTGACCCCTGGTGGTGGTGGGTCCAGGAGGGAGGGGAGAGGAGAGCGGGGAGAGGGGAGTGGAAGGGCAAAGAAAGACGTGTGGGAACGGGAACTGCCAGAGCTCGGGGCTGTGGTGGAGGATCCACACGGCGATGAAAATGTCCTGACCCCTGGGGGTGGGGAGAGAGGGAAGGAGGGAAAAGGGGAGCGGGACAAGGAGGTCAAGGCACAATTCAGGGCTGTGATGGTGGTTCCACTTCCACACGGAGATGAAAATGTCCTGACCCCTGGGGGTGGGGAGAGAGGGAAGAGGCGAGCGGGAAAAGGGGAGCGGGAATTGGGGTGAGGAATGAAAGAAAGGCACGGGAGAGAACGGGAGGACAACATGGGGAAGGACGTGCCACCTGCATATTGGAAAAGACTCACTCTTTGATGGGGTATTCCCCCAGTACGTCATCCTCGTGTAAAAAGTGACTTTCTGAGATGTCTCAAAAATCAATTTTTACAAAGACTCACTCATTGATGGGGTATCCCCCCCGTACGTCGTCCTCGTGTAAAAGGTGAATTTTTGAGATGCATAAAAAAATCATTTTTTACAAAGACTCACTCTTTGATGGGGTATCCTCCCAGCACATTGTCTTCAAGAGCGCACCGGATAAGCACGGGCGGCTGGGGGTAGAGGCGCATGGCCTCGTTTATCACCCTCGTGGTGGCATCAGCAGGAGCCAGAGCACTACCCATCACAGGGCCCGTCAAGCATCCCCCCAAGGGCCCGTCCCGTGAAACCATCAAACTGACACCATCAAGATCTACACTGACACTCACTCTTTGATGGGGTATCCTCCCAGCACATCGTCTTCAAGAGCGCGCCGGATAAGCACGGGCGGCTGGGGGTAGAGGCGCATGGCCTCGTTGATCACCCTCGTGGTGAACCGCAGCTTCTTGAAATCCTCAATGCTGGGCTGCCTGTCGCCCAGCACTAAGTCCACCTCTGCTTGCAGTTTCGCCATTGCTGAAGGATTCTGCAGAAGGGAGGGTTGCCAGGTGTGGTTGAGAGGGGAGGGGGGAGCGAGGGGGGTGAGGTACTGCGTGATCTGCCTGTCGCCCAGCACACAGTCCACCTCCGATTGCAGCTTCGCCAATGACTCCGGGTTCTGCGGTCCCAGGAGGGGTCACAGGGGTGGTGGATGGAGGGGATGTGGAGGGGACGGGTGTAGGGATTGGCATTGACGCTGGGCTGCCTGTCGCTCAACTGCATCCACCTTCGCATGGAGCTTCGCCAATGACGAAGGATTTTGCACAAAGGATGGGAAGAAGCGACTGGAGGAGGGATGGTAATGGGTGGTGGATCAGTAAGCGGCTGTGACTATCTTAAAGTCCTCAATGCTGGGGCTGCCTGTTGCCCAGCTCTGCATCCACCTTTTCTCCGCCCGTATGAGCACAGCAGCAGCAGATGTCTCATATCGCGCCTCCTAACCCAATCAGCATGGTCACCAAAACAACCCCCAGATGCTTGCTCTAATCAGATTGCCCCTAGATCTCCCCCAGATGCTGCTGTGCCCCTAAACAATTGACCTGCGCTAGGAGGTGGAACGCCCATATGAGCACAGCAGTGGAGTGGACGTCTCGTGTCCCGCAATCAGCATCGAAATCAGATCGTCCCTCAGCTGCTTGCTCGTGACGTGGCCCTACAATAGCCTTTTATTCTGGATATATGACGTTGCAGTCAACGTCGCCATGAGATCAACACTCGCTTTCTTGAGTTAGCCCCTTAGGGCCTTGATCGGACCTCACACTGACCTGTGCTAGAAGATAGAACGCCCATGTGAGCACAGCAGCAGACGTCTCATGCCCCGCGATCAGCATGGTCATCAGATCATCCCGCAGCTGCTTGCTCGTGACGTCATCCCCGGAAGCAACCAGGAAATGCAGGATGCTGGGGTCCTCCTTGTTCAAATACTCCTCGAAAAACTCCTCCTCCTCTGCTTCCACCGTTTGCTGCACATGCGTGCGAAGAGAGCAGGGGGGAGAGGGGGGAGGAGAGGGGGACGTGAGAAGACACACGAATTGGCAACGCCAGCATGCTGGAGGCAACGCCAGGATGCTGGCTGGGGTCCTCCTTGTTCAGAAACTGGCTGGACATGACCACCACTCGCAGCACTTTGTTTGCATGAGCATAGCCTTACCACAGGGCCACAGACCTGCTCCTACGGGCAAAGACCCACTCACCCACCTTGCATTCAGCAATGAGCGTGTTGTGAGTGCCGTTGATGAGCGTGAGAGCATGTGAATGGGCATGTGCATGCAATGCAGTCACGGCCTTACTACATGCCTGCTGCTCACCTTGCATTCGGCAATGAGCGTGTTGAGAGTGCCGTTGATGAGCGTGAGGGCGTCTGACACCTTGCGCTGGTTGGGCATCACCACTCGCACCACTTTGCATGGGCATACAATGCAGCCAAAGGCCCACCCACTCACCTTGCATTCACCACTCACCTTGCATTCAGCAATGAGCACGTTGAGAGTGCCGTTGATGAGCGTGAGGGCGTCTGACACCTTGCGCTGGTTGGGCATCACCACTCGCACCACTTTGCATGGGCATACAATGCAGCCAAAGGCCCACCCACTCACCTTGCATTCAGCACTCACCTTGCATTCAGCAATGAGCGTGTTGAGAGTGCCGTTGATGAGCGTGAGGGCGTCTGACACCTTGCGCTGGCTGGGCATCACCACTCGCAGGGGGGGGGATCTTCCAGTAGGGGAACAGCGACGTGCTTCGCACCTCTGCTTCCCTTAAAGTCACGTACACCGCCTGGAGTGAGGTAAGGTAGGGAGGGGCGAGACGGGGGAGGTGAGGAGTAATGCACAAGAAATTACTCAACCGTTCCTCTGCCTCCCTTAGTGTCAAGTACACTGCCTCTACCTCAAGATAGGTGGGGCGAGGGGAGTCTGCAAGTAAAGCAAAAGAAGCAAAACGCATCTCGTTTCAAATACACGGGTTCCCGCCCTCAGAGGTTGGGCATGCAACCAAGGATGAAAAATACGGTTACCGTATTAAACGGTCCGTTTAAAACGGTTGTATTATACGGCAGTTTTTGGTAAAAAACGGCGTTTTTTTTTATAGACTTTTTTTTTTGCATTATTTTATTTTTTCAGTGCTGAAATGCCTGAACTGCCTACTACATGCTAATGCTGGAAATAGAGCTAGCTACTTGTACACCACTACTACTCTACTACTACACAACATCACCCCTCTCCCTCTTTGAGCTATCCACTACAACTTACACTTACCCACTACTTCTCACCTCCGTTGCCTCTCTCTCTCCTACGTTGAACATCACCCCCCTCCTCTACTCCTCCTCCTCCTCCTCCTCCTCCTCCTCCTCCTCCCTCCTCCTCCTCCTCCTCCTCCTCCTCCTCCTCCTCCTCCTCCTCCTCCTCTTCCTCCTCCTCCTCCTCCTCCTCCACCTCCTCCTCCTCCTCCTCCTCCTCCTCCTCCTCCTCTTCCTGTTGGGGAAAAATGTGAAATTCGATAAACACTGTCTCGCTTTCAAAATTCGGTCGTTTAAAACGACCGTATTTTTAAACTTAATAATAAAACACATTTTTACCGTATTTAACCGTATAATACGACCGTTTAAAACGATTCCGTATAATACCGTAAAAAATCAATAATTCGGTCGTTTTTTTTATCCTTGCATGCAACTCACCTCGATGATCCCTGTGTCTTGAATAGCGAGTTGAACTCGTAGTCAAACATGGCCTTGCCAATCACATGAACGGTCAAACATGGCCTTGCCAATCACATGAACGGTCAAACATGGCCTTGCCAATCACATGAACGGTCAAACATGGCCTTGCCAATCACATGAACGGTCAAACATGGCCTTGCCAATCACATGAACGGTCATGCACGAGAAGAGAGACTCCATCTCCACCACCCAAAGAAGACTCTCACCTCCACAATCCCCGTGTCTTTCTGGAGCGAGTTGAACTCGTAACTGAACACGGCCTTGCCAATCACATCCAGGGTCATGCGTGAGAAGAGAAGAAAGACTCCCACCTCCACCACCCAAAAAATACTCTCACCTCCACAATCCCCGTGTCTTTTGATAGTGAGTTGAACTCGTAGTTGAACACGGCCTTGCCAATCACATCCAGGGTCATGCGTGAGAAGAGGGATTCCATCTCCACCACCTGCCCCTTGTCTGCTGCTCTCTCCAGCTTGTCGCAAAGCCGCTGGGAGCACTCGCTAAAACAGCGACACCATGGTGCTCACGTACTGGGAAAAGGTGGGGGGAGGGAGGGGGGAAAAGGGGGAGAAATGATGTACAGATTTTGTACCATTCTGTGCAGATTCCATTCCTTGCAGTGCACATTTAATACCTTTCTGCGCAAGTTTCACATCTTACTGTGCAGATTCACACCTTTTCGGTAGAGAATTTGCATTATTTGTGCAGTTTTTAAAGCTTCTGTGCAGATTCATACCTTTCTCTACACTCATCTTCTCTTACCTTTCTCTGCTCCGTCCTGTACATTTCAATTGACTTCCTGTACAGTTACGATACCTTCCTGTACAGCACATTCCTGTACATTACTTTTGCCTTCCTGTATACTCTTCTTACCTTTCTGTGCAGCGCCGGGGCAACAGTGCGGCGTCGAGGTGAGCCACAACTCGCCATCAGCGGGAATGAGTCCTTGCCCCATCACCTTTCTGTGCAGATTCATACCTTTCTGTGCAGCGCAGGGGCAACGGTGCGGCGTCGAGTGAGCCACAACCTCGCATCAGCGGGAATGAGCCCCTGTCCCATCACGAAGTCGAGGATCTCAGAAAGGATTCCCTGCACCCCGCAACAAGTTGCCCCAGGGAATAGATGATGAGCCATTGACAGTGGGCGAGAATGCTCCTGATTTTTAGGGGCTACAAAATAGTCGTTCAAATAGGATCTCTGTGCCGCACACAAAGTGGCTTAGCAAACGGGTGTTGAGGCATTGTTACCGCCTTAAAGTGCCATTTTTTTTTATCTCTCACGCACTTATGGGGTACAGAGGAGAGTTATACGTGAGGTTTCAAGCAAGTGACGATTGTAAACGTTGATGAAAAGGATTGGTTTTTAGTGCTCACCTTGGAGTACGACTTGGCGTTGTCCCGCAGAATATGCTTCGCCACAACGGGATCCGATACAATCACAAACCTCTGCAAAACAGGGAAATATACCACAAAGGAGCAGTGATCAGGCAAGTCTTGAGCATAACGGATTCCTCATCAACACAGGAGCCATATCCAAGATCACTGGCAAGAAACCAACCTTTGGTCCAAAGGACAGACGAAACACCCCGCCGTAGACAAGGTAAAGGCTAAAAAGCGGGACGAAAAAGGGCTGTCCGATTATAGCGCGTATGTCTCCGCGAGCCTCCGGCATGGTAGCGTTCACCATAGCCGCCATCTGCGTTCCATCGTGGCCATAAACATGGCCACCGGCCGGCCTTGCCGGGCCCGAGTTCGCCAAGCATCGACGCAACCAGCCGAACCGATCGACTCTGCAGGCGGGAAAGGGGTACGGTGGCCGTGGGAAGCAATCGTGAGAGGAAGCGACGCAGGGAACGCATGCATTGGCAGACGGGGATGAGGGTTGACCGAGAGGCAGAATGAACGACGAAAAACGACGCAGCAACGCTATTCTTCTCCTCCATGCAAACCACGCAAAACTCGTCCGTCAAGTTCCCACTACGTTTTTGAGGCGCATCAGAAATCCTTCTGTTCGAACTAGGAAAGCACATCAGAACTAAGGACCAGCCACCAGAACTGTCGGTTGCCTTTGGATGCTTGTGTTAACTCCCCGTTGGCGACTATATTGCCGTTGCTATAAATACCGTCGTCAACTACATTGTCGTTATCGTCTAGAATAGGCGATCTTTAGGTCATCTCACGAGTCAGATATTTCTGTGGGTACCTTCTGGAAGCCACTGTGAACTCTCCACTGGCGATTCTATCCGCGAGTCGTTAGACTTCTTTCAAGCAGAGCCTTCTCAAACTTCTTCAGTTCCTCCTTTTCCGGATCCTCCGCTGCTGTCTCCTGCCTGGTATCCGCTGCTGCTCTGCATCTCCCACCTGCAGCGGTTCATCCTTCCTGGTGTGAGGGAGAAAAGCAATGTCAGGTTCGTTAGGCAATTCATTCGATTAACTCGTTCGTCAGTGGATAGCGTACACCCTTACATTCACATTTATCTCATTGATCGCGTCGTTTCGACAGCATCAGCAAACGCCGGCGTATTTTACCTGAAACAGCTGAATACTTTCTGTCGAGGAGATGATCCAAAAAAACGAGCTTCCCTTGACCATTCGCAAGCCAGGAACGTTGCCCTGCGAAGGAGTCTCGTACAGCTGCTTCATGATTAAGGGGTTGGCATCGAGCTTGTGATTCCGGTCGTGATATGAAAAAGCCTTGGCTCCTAGGAGCCCAGAATGGTCGCAGCCAGTCCTAATCAGACTTCGGCCAATAGAAGATCGACTTGGTTCTGTTATTTCAGCGGGTCACTGTCCAACTGAGGATGGACGGACGACGTCGCTGGTGAGAAGGCCTTTTCACGGATCCGATGAAAGAAAACCTGTGATAGGCCTGGACTGACGTTACTACAATCGTAGACCTTACTAATGTCACGGTTGTAATCCAAGGGACGAGCCAACGCTAGGGTGACTGCTTGAACAATGTCGAAAGCAAGCAGACTGGACCGGCCTGGCACACAACTTCTGGACACTTGAATTAAGCTTGCCTGGAGAAAACGAGAGGCCTTAACAGGTTTTGTTCCAGGTTGTGTGAAGTGCTCACTAAAACCACCAGCCTTGCAGCTGAAATGGTCTGCTAAGGTCGGGTTGGTCTTCTTTCGTTTGAAATCGATTTGGTCTGGTTGAGTTCGGACCCTCCCACCTTCGGACTAGTGTGCTCTCTCCTGAACAACCCTAAGAGCCAAAGAATCAGTCCTATCAGTAATCTATCAAGCATGGAGGTAGACACACTTGGGCTTTTCCCGCCTCTTGTTTTGAGGTGTCGCGTGGAGATATTTGAAAAACAACATTGAAAAGTCCACCGTGCCCATGAGCTGTCCTGGCGCGGGACCACATATGTTCCTCCAGCTCTACTTTGAGTACGCCACGTGGGTATCGACGGCAAGCTATTATCCAAGATGCTCCCAGGAGAACGAGGGCTGGCGTGGCAGATCGTAAAAGCGCGAAGCTTTCCACCTCACCTCACCATGGGAATTTGCTGTGCAGTAATGTGTCTATCATTGTGCTTGCTTGCATCCTGTGCGCATGCGGAGGTCCTGCTATATGGCTGCTTCTTATAGAACAACTGCCTGATAATACAGTCTATTATTCATCTGCTCGATGTATTCAACCAATGGGCAGGGCTGATTTTATCAGGGTAATTACCCTGATTTCAGGGTGATTTCAGGCTTTCCACTTCGTGGAGACTGAAATTTCAGAGTTATTGAATTTCCAGCCCTGATCCAATCAGAGTAATAGTTTAGCTATCCCTGATTTTGAGTACAGTGTAACAGACTAGGCTGTTAGTGGACCCTGACTTAACAGAGTATCGACTGTGTGGACCTGACTTCTCGAGAGGAAGTTTCTCGGAAGTTTCCTTCCGATGACCCTGCCTTGGATGATTGCAGCAGTGATCCCCCCACATGTGCGTAATCCCCCCCCTTCCCGCTTTATCGAGACGAAGTTTCTTCGAAACTTCGTTCTGATCGAAACTTCGAGACTTTATGGAGATTTGGGATATTTTCCCCGACTTATCGAAAGGAAGTTTTCGGAAGTTTTCTTCCGATGACCCCGCCTTGGATTGATCGCACCGATCCCCCCACATGTGCGTAATCCCCCCCCTTCCCGCTTATCGAGACGAAGTTTCTTCGAAACTTCGTTCTGATCGAAACTTCGAGACTTTATGGAGAGAGTGGGGATATTTTCCCGGTAACAAAGCGCGCGTTACTACTCTGATGTTC